CGAGATCGAAGAGTGTGGATACGCTGTCCCTGGCACAGGATGTAATTCCGTATACAGACTTCGGTTGCACATAACCGGAGTTTCAACATCAGAGCACTCCAATACTATCTTGGAGTGTCCGGCTCCATCCAACGGAGAGTAGAGCACTGGTGTGGCTGAGAACTCTGCAACGGCTGTGTGATGCCAGGACCACGCGCGTTTCCAGCAGGGTTGAAGAACTCGCCAGTTGTGACGCCGTCATGGTACGAAAAGCGAAGAACTCCGGTTGTCAGTGAATTGACAAATGTTTTTACCTGGGCCAAGTATCTGGTTTATTGTTTAAAGCAAATTGATCGCGGAGGACTATCCGCAGAGCATCGGAAGCAGGCTTATCGGGAAGTAATTGTGCTATTAATATAGGGTTTGGGCCAGACTGTTAAATTGAAGCGTCTCCGAGTAGAAGACGGGTCGGAATTTGCTACTCTCGTGGAGCATCAGGTCCGTTCCACATTCCAGAATTCCACGGATATTTCATAATTTGTGAAAGCAAGAGAGTAGAAGCAGCACGAGCTCGCGCTGCATCGTACAGGGCAAAATTTCAACCCCAAGGACGGCTAAGTCCAAAAGCGCCGCACAGCAGTTTTCCTAGGATTAATACAAACGCTCCTCTATATCTCAAGGTTAGAAGTGTCTTAGCCGAATTGAAGGAGGGCGGAGCATCCCAGAAGCATCTACAAGATGGCGTGCGGCCAACGTGGGAACCGAAGGGGCCTCCACCATCGACGAAGGGTCAGTGAATAACAATGTCAGAGATGAACGACGCAATGATCCAGACGTAACTTTCACGACTCGAAACAGACTGAATTATCCAATCGGGGACAACTTTAGTGCAATCAGCCATTATGATCCCAAAATTCGACGGGAGGAGAGGACGGTTAATACTGAATCCGGATAGCATCAATGCTCACTCACAAAGGAAGACCGTTCGAACAGAAGGTCTAGAAAGACTGGCTCATGTTGCCAGACCGGGGGATGTAGCTATGTCAGCCGAGATAAAGGACGGCTCCTATGCGTTAGCTGTTGGCAACCCCAGGCTCGGGTAGTTTCGCTACCAAAAGCACCGGCTATGGTGCTTCCTGGCATTTTCGATGGGATCAATATTTTCTTTAGGATGGATTTTCTCTAGGATGGATTAAAGAGAGCTCGATGTATACGAATAATTCTATCTGTATGTCGACGATCTTTTGTTAATAGGACGACCGAAAATTGTCGGAAGCATGCCAGGATCATAATAATAATATGCATGTTCCAACTCTAATTCGAACCAGGAAAAGGCCATTAGACAACTCCAGTGAGCAGACTCCAACACTTAGACGTTGTTATTATTGAGAACAAACACCATCGAGATGACTCCGGAATTCAAAGCGAAAGTTCTCAGACTAGCAAGCGCAATCCGGAGCTTGGATCTACAGAACGAACGTCGCATGCCCATATAAGCTTGGCAATCGTTCTTAGGTTGCCTCTTGTGAGTGGTCTTCTCCGTGCCCAGTTTGAGGGTCTTTATAGCCGACCTGCAGCAATTAACGATGGATTCACGCCTCCCGAATTCAATTAGCTGGAGTGACTTTCAAGAAGATAGAGCGCATTTCGTTTTATGTGGGGATCTTCGATTTCCGCCAAATCTGGCTGCCAGACCACCAGACAACTATCACCTCCGACTCCTCGAAGATGTGCTTCAGTGTCACACTCCGGTGGCAACGGACGACGTATACTTTTGCCGGCACTTGGATCCTAACAGAGTCACTGGCCAATCCCAATACTAAACTCAAGGCACTCGTTCTAGCCTTCGAGTTCTTCTTCAATAACACAAAGATAGAGAGAACGGCACTGCTTTGGCTCACAGGGCACTGCGTTAGATGCTCTGCGCAAGAGAAGGTGTCAGTTGAAGTTGATGAACGCCCAACTTCACAGACTGGTGTGGTATTGTCACAAGAACATGGCTCCCTGGCCAGTATTTTTCGGGGGTTTGCCAGGAAAGCTCAATCTAGCAGCTGATATGCTTCGCGCAGCGGCAGGCTACTTCAGTACCACTGGACGGTAACGCCAGAAGCAACCTTGTCGCTATTCCAGAAGTGACTCATTAGACCAAATCCAACATAATGTACATACCCGGACAGTTACTATCTACGTTCGCGAACCGGTTCTGTTTCACGCCATGTGTGACTAAACTTTGAAACTTCTCGCTCCACCAGAGACAATGATTGGCCAGATATTAGAGCAGCTCGACAGGCGCCTACGCCAAGCAGTATAAATCATTCCAATTTGGCAGAAGGCCATATGGTTATGGTGGCCTCACATTACTCGACATGGCAAATAGTTAACTATACTCGAGCCAGGAGTGGTCCATTACCCAAATTTTGTAGCCGACGAACTCGGCATGGCCGTTCCGTCGTTCCCCCTACGCGTATATACGGGGCAGTATTACACGAGCTCAGCGGCAGCGTGTGAATGCAGCTATAGATCGCGCTCGAGTCTGAACCCAATTGCGGAATGGAGGGATAGTGCCCGGCACACAAGAAAACTACCGGGCAGCTTGCCAGTTCTGAACCAACTAAGTATACAATCACCACCACAGTTCCAATTAGAGACCAACTCCGCTTCTTAAAGTTCTGCTTCTATGAGGCTTGCGCCCCAGATCAGATACGTCAGATCCGGGCAGCAATCAACAGCTATGCCCTTTGCCATGTCCTCATCATGCTGGAGGACACGACATGGCAGCGCGCGGTACAGGGAGTATATGTCCCTGTGGAAGCAAGGCAATCATCCCACAGCACCCGACAGGCCTCACATTCCTGGTGCTTGGCTTTCTCAGGTCCTTGATGCAACAGGTCTTCCTGAGAGCTCGCGCGCCCGTATTGGTGTCCTTTGGATATCCGGGGCCAGGCGAGATATGAACCGGGCATTCGCTCGCGATTCTTTTACGTTCGTCTCAGTATCACACTCCCTCCTCATTGATTTGAAGAAGAAGAAAACCGGGAACGCTCCCAAGTGGCCAAGCTAATTACTAGACCTCTCGATAGCGATACATATGCATTCTTGGAACACCATCTACCAGACGCTTTTAGATCGTCCGACGGCGTACAAGCGCCGGCAACCACTCTGAACAATCTTACTGACGAGGTAAGGATCATCACCATACGTCAGTACTTGGTGTGAGCTGATCTTGCTGCCAGCACAGTCAACAAACATGTCCAGTGCGTTCAGTCTGAGAGTGCCGGACGACATTTCCGCTACCACAATGAGCATCGATATCAAAGCGTCAGAAAGCTATCGCTCGGTCACCGCCGCCTCCGAGGCCGACCGCAGATTCAACAGTTGTTTGTTAAACGAGAACCTCATAGCATTGTTCATTCTTTTTTATAAAGCTATAAATTGTAACATCAATTACACAAAATTTTACTGACAATAAGAGTTTCAAATATCTCATCTTCTCGTTTGCACTACCCGACTTCCCGCTTGTTCACGATCATTATCTGTACATGTCTCTGATGACAAGAAGGACTCCAAGTTGGGATCGAATTTTATCGCGCACCCATCTACCAGCCCATTTCACACATGATTCCAGTTTGCTAACTACAAACCGTCTAAGACACAATTTCACGCTACAAACCATTATTTACTAAATCTTCACGGATATTTTCTGTTGCTTTTAATCTTATTTGCGTCGCATGACTTCCCACTTAGCACAGTCTATATGTGCATGTCTCTGTTGGAAGAAGTGACTATGGGTTGAGATCTCATTTGACACATGATTGAAGAAAGCAAGCCACAGACTTTCAAAAACATGATTGCAAGCTACAAGCCTTTGTTTACTAATTCTTCACTGTTACTTTCTGTAGCTTCTAACCTCTCCTTCTCTTCTCGTTTACGTTGCCTGGCTTCTCGCTTGGCAAGGTCTTCTTCAGTGTAAGTTCCCAACGGCACAAGTGGCTCTGAATTGACATCAAACTTCGCACCCGTGACAGGTGTCTCTTGGTACTTTGCCCACATCCCAAACTGCAATCGGGAAAAAATGTGTCATGAAAGAGTATGGTTTAATTGATATTAGGGATAATACAAGCTCAGTTTAGACGATTGAGAACGCGTTAAGCGAAAGACTCGAGCTTGATATCGAACCATCGTCTCATACAGAACCACGATACTATGAGAAATATCTAACAGACTGCTATCTCCCTCACGTACTCAAAGCAAAGCTGTTCAAAAAAAGTGCTCGCGGGGTTGGAGAATGGTATTGATTGCGGTGGTTGAAACACCCGCTATTTGTCTGCCCAAATCCTATTTTAGCATCTATCATCCTGAGTACCATATTGCACCACTTCTCATTTTAAATCCACATAGAACGCCAATAAACCCACAAAATGGGGTTTTATATGCATGTCACATATATACTTAGGATGTTTTAGATCGAACGGAAAGACAGATCAGCTACAAAATAGGGCTAAAGTAGGCTAAAGCTAGCCAAGGCTAGGCGCCTATGATCCATACACTCCACAACATCCTTAAAAGGCTCAAGGCGACGTAGAAATGTGATTTTTAAAGAACAGTGGAAAAATGATACACACGTATTTGAAATAGACAAACATGTGTACGAACATATGCACGCAAACATGGCGCGCAATGATAAATTAACGCTCATGCACATATGTATGTTAATTACATGGTGGAATACGATGGAGCCAGCCACGTAGACATTGAGGGAGGCGGTGCCGTCTCCGTATTGTGGTATGTAGACAAAGTGATCACAGATATCTGTAAATAGAAAGAAGTAATGTTGATATGAGTGACGGTGAATTGGTATACGTCTGACATTTATTCGTATAAGAGATGGCGAGGTATGTAGACGAAATGATCGCAGATGACTGTACACAGATGAAGATAAGGATGAAATATATGAGGTGTGCATGAACATACGTCTCTTATACATGTGTATTTAGGTTGCAATAAGCACACATACACGTACATTTAAATTTACATTTACACACACACACACATATATATATATATATACATATACATATATACATATATACATATATACATATATATATATATACATATATATATATATATATATATATATAATATATATATATATATATATACTATTATATATA